CTTATGGTCTTTCATGATACCTGCCATTTAAAAAATATTTCTCCCCTTGGAATGCCAGTTAACAATATGTTCATCACTGATACATTGAGAGCAAAAAAGGACCGTACTCCATGAACCATTTGGAGGTCTATGGTATCTGCACATCTGGGCCCTTGAATAACTCTTCACTTGGTAAATTATAAACTCAAGGATACTTATGTCTGAGGAAGATTTGAGATTTTCAGAGATACTTTGTCACTATCTCCTGATTATAGTCACAGGGGTCCAAAAGAATGTCAAGGACTCAGCATTTGATCTTCAGTATTGAAGTAAGATGCAGCTTACAGGAAAGGCTTTTAAGAAGCCTTCAAGCTATCTTTCACCCTTCTCTTCTCAACTTCTATAGGCTTTGGCAAGGAACCCTGGTCATGCAGTAGTTAAGCACTCAGCTGTGAACTCAAAAGTCAGCCCTTCAAACACACCAGCCACTCCATTGGAGACAGATGAGACAGTCTGCTTCCATAAAGACTTGTTGTTGTTGTTGTTAAGTGCCGTCGAGTCGGGTCCGACCCATAGCGACCCTGTACAGGGTTTCCGAGGGTGTAAATCATTACGGGAGTAGAAAGCCTCATCTTTCTCCCGCGGAGCAGCCGGTAGTTTCGAACCGCTGACCTTAAGGTTCGCAGCCCGATTCGTAACCACTACGCTACCAGAGCTCCTTTCCTAGGAAACCCTATGAGACAGTTCTGCTCTGTCCTAGAGGGTCACTATGATTCAAAATTGAATAGATGGCAAACAACAACAGCATTGCCTTTATCACAAGGCCTTCAGCAATGCCTTCTTGTCTAACTGTTCCATGCACACTTATTTTATCACTCCACTGTAAGTTCTCAGAAGTTGGAATCCAGATATACAAGAATATTCCCAATGTATTCACCATAGACTTAGGACAATGCTAGACTTAGAGCAATTATTGAATATGAAGTTGTTTAGAAGGAGCTACAGCTGTGAAAGCAGGGACTAAGCAAGACAAATGCCTATTTTAAAAAGTTTATTTTCTTTACTAGATATAACATAATATATGCTGATTATTTTAAAAATTGGAAGGCGTCGAAAGGAAGCAGAAGACAGACAAAATAGCATAATTTAACTACTCAAAGACACCCCAGTTTCCTGCTTCACATTTGTCCAAGCAGTTTTAAAACTAAATGGAGATAATAGTGCACATATGGTTTTTTTACATTTTGCTTTTTGCCAATCGTCACTACAGTGTCAGCACTTCTTCATGTCACTGGAAACTATTTATTACATATTTAAATAGTCATGTTGAGTAGTAGCCTGTAAGACACTTAGCCCATCTCTGTACATTTGACCATTTCAGTTTTAAAAATATCTTCCTTTTACAAATAACTCTAAAATACATTCCTATACATACATTTTCTGCAATTTTTCTTTATTTTTTCATTAGAGAAAATTCCTTAAAGTGAAATCACTTGCTTAAGTAGAAGGTATAGGTATTATGGATACATATTGCCAAATATTCATTCAGAGAAGTCATACCAACTTCTACCCATGCTAGACATATGTCAGAGGCATGGTGTGGCACGGTAGGATAAGCACTGGACTGCTAATCAACAAGCCAGTGGCTCAACCCCCCCAGCTACTCCTTGGAAACCCTATGTAGGGTAGCTATGTGTAGGAACCCAGTTGAGCACTTAATAACAACAACAACAACAACAACAGTAAAACATTAAGTAAATTAACCTACATTACACCTACACTGGAGTCCTGGCATGGCATTGTAGGTAAGTACTGGACAGCTAACCACAAGTTTGGTGGTTCAAACCCAGTAGCCACTCCTCGGAAACTTTATGCAAGGTCAGAACTGACTCAATGGCACTTAACCACAGGGATCTAGTTAGAGATTTTGGTGGCTATGGTAGGATAAGAATTGCTATATCATTGATTTATAGATTAGAAACTATGGTTCAGAGAAATAAGGAAGGTGACCTGTCCCAGGTACATCTGTCAGTAAGCTGTAGAAATAGAAGTCAGTTGTCTAATTGCTATTCCAGTGTCCTGTTAAAGACCCATAATACAACAGAACAAAACACTGTGCAGTTCTGCGCCATCTTCACAATCATTGCTATATTTGAGCCCATTGCTGCATCCATTGTGTCAGTCCATCTGGCTGAGGGGCTTCCTTTATTCCCTGGCCATTTACATTACCAAGCACAATGTCCTTCTCTAGGACTGGTCCCCTCTGATAAAGTGTCCAAAGTATGTAAGAAGAAATCTCACCATCCTAGCTCCTAAGGAACATTCTGGCTGTATTTCTTCCAAGACAGATTTGTTCGTTCTTCTGGCAGTCCATGGTATATCCAATATTTTCCACAAACACCATAATTCAAAAGATTCAATCTTCTGTGGGCTCCTCATTCATTGTCCAGTTCTCACATGCATACGAAGTGACTGAAAATATCATGGCTTGGGTCAGGCACACCTTTAAAGAGGTCTTTTGCAGCAGATTTACCAAATGGAATACACAGTTTGATTTCTTAACTGTTGCTTCCATAGGTGTTGGTTGTGGACCCTTGGCAACTCCAATATCTGCCCCATTTATCACCATGTTGCCTAGTGATCTGGTTGTGAGGATTTTTGTTTTCTTTATGTTGAGGTGTGGAGCCCTAGTGGTGCAGCATTTAAAACATTTGTCTGCTAACTAAAAGTTTGGCAGTTTGAACCCACCAATGGCTCCACTGGAGAAAGATGTGGGAGTCTGTTTTTGTAAAGATTTACAGCCTTGAAAACCTTACAGGGCAGTTCAACTCTGCCCTACAGGGTCACGATGAGTTGAAATGGATTCAGCTCCAGTGGGTTTTATTTTGATGTATAATGCATACCTATGGCTATAGTCTTTGATCTTCACCAATAAGTGCTACAAGTCTTCACATTCAGCAAGAAAGATTATGTCACCTACAGGCTGTTAATCAGTTTTCCTCCAATCCTGATGCCATGTTCTTCTTCATATGTTAGTCAGTTTGAATAAGCATGCGGAAATGATCCACTCCTGATGCACTCTTCCTGATTTTAAGGCACATAGTATCTCCTTGTTCAGTTCAAATGATTGCCTCTTGGTTTATGTACACGTTCTGCATGAACATAATGGAGAGTTCTGGGATATATGTTTTTTATAATATTACCCATCATTTGTTATGATCTGCACAGTTAAATGCCTTTGCATAATCAGGAAAACACAGGTAAACATATTTCTGGTATTCTCTGTTTTCAGCAAGATTGATCTGATTGATATCCACAATGATATCCCTTTTCCATATCCTCTTCTGACATGAATTTCTGGCAGTTACCTGTTGATGTTCTGTTGCAACCATTTAAAATATCTTTTTGGTTGTTGTTGTTGTATCACAGTATGACAAATGGCAGATGAAGGCTGTAATTTGTAATTACAGATTTATTTTTTTCACTTATTTGTTTCTTCAATCAGCCAGGAATCGGAACTACATCTATTTTGTTTACTGTTTTATAGCCAACACTGAGCACACTACCTGTCACATAGTATATGTGCAATAGATATTTGTTGAATGAATTCATAAAGTTGCAAAAAGATTTGGGAACGCTAGATAGCTTGATAAGATCAAGGAGTTGAGGATGAAAGGAATTTAAAAATGGTGAGTGAGTAGGAGAGTGGGGTGAAATGGACAGGTTGCCAGTGGGCTAGATCATTAATTAGTTCTAAGTCTTGCTATACAGTTTGGAATAATGCTATAGGATAAATACTGGACCACAAGGTCCATTTGATCTGCAAGGTCAGTGGTTCAAACTTACCAGGCACTCTTCAGAAACCCTATACAGGGTCGATATGAGTCAGAACCAACTCGACGGCACTGAACGACAATAACAGACAGTTTGGATTTCATTCTGTTGCCAATGGAGACTCACTAAGCACTTTTAAGCCAGTGGGTGGAAAGATGGGAGAAGAAACTGAAATGGAGGTGAGTCAGACTCTTAGGGGTTGTTGTAGTAATCCAGTTGAGAAACAATGACATTGAATGGGGGCAATAGAGTGGAGGATGGAAGTAGCCTTGATGGAGAAATGGTTAAACAGTCAACTGCAAGTGAAAAATCGATGGGTCAAACCCACCCATCAGCTCTGCCCCTGTAAAGATGACAGTCTGGAAAACCTTGTGGGGCAGTTCTACTCTGTCACATGGGGTCACTATGACTTGGAGCACCTAAAAACAACAACAGTGGATGGAAATATAGGTGTGAGTTATTAGATGGAGGCAGTGTATGTCCCAGGGGTGAAGAAGTCAAGGACAATGCCTAGGGTTTTGATTTAGGTAACTATGTATTTATTGAAATGTCACCAAACATAGAGTAGAGGAACAGATCAGATTTGATGGAGTGGATTGAGATGGTCTGTTATTATGGACATTCAGTTGTTTTTGTGGACTTTCAGATTGAGTTATTCATCAGGCTTATTAACTCTTAGATGAGAAATCTGATCTGTGGTTAGCAGTCCAGTGCTTATTCCTCAATGCCATAAGTGCTCCTTCTTTCTCTTCTTGTTGTTGTTGTTGGTAGTGGTAGGTGTGTACCATTGAGTCAGTTCTGACTGATAGTGAGAGTGTAAGTCTTTACAGAAACAGAAAACCTCATCTTTCTCTCATGGAGTGGCTGGTCCAATCAAACTGCTGACCTAATCCACAGCACTACCGGAGCTCTTTGCCTTGTTGTTATTGTTGTGAAGTTCCATAGAGTCTGTTCTAACTCATAATGACCCTGTATAGCGTTTCTGAAGAGCAGTTTGTGGGTTCAACCACCAACCTTGTGGTTAGCAGTCCAGTGCTTATCGTACAGTGACAGACAGGAAAATCACCAGCTGACTTTTCATCCAATCTCTAAGGATCTTGAGAAGCTGGCCCTCCAACCATGTTTAACAAAGCATCAGGAAATGAGACAAACAGTAGCAGAGATGATCAGTGATGTAGTGGACTTACTTTGACTTTCTTTCAGGACTGTCCACGTCATCATAGATGACACCTTCCTGAGACCTAAATTCTAGGGTCAAAATAGGATTGAAATAGTCCATTATTGGGTATAGTTTATAAAATCTCTGGTCTTCCAAATTATACAAAATTACCTAATTTTCTGGGTCTATCCCCAAACCTGTTTTACTAAAATCTCATCATAAACTATAGGTAGGGGCTTAGAAGGATCAAACAGCAAAAGGAATCTTCACTGGGAAGAAATTCAGTTGAGGATTAAACACACAGTGGTCGATTTAGTATCTCAAACACATCTATATATTTTTATATCAATTTGATTTCATTAAGATTTCCAGAAAAATAGTTGTTAAGAGGATCATTTTTAGACTTGATTCCCATCTTCCTGGAACTGGACAAAGATGTCATTACTAGCAGAGTAAGAATTCTTAATACCCAGGAAAACAATAGATCAAACAGTAGAATATTAATGTTGAATTTTTCCTTCATGATTTTTATTTCAAAGCATTGGAAATTTCCCCCTTTATAATAATCTTGGATAAAATGGAATCTAACTTAGTAAATATTCATAAGTAAGCATTTTAAGTTTAGAGTATCCATATGCCTTCACGTTCCACATAGAATCCCATGATTTGGGGGTGATTCACCTCTTGAACAAGTTAAAAACCTTCGGGCATTATTCAGAAACATTAATATTGCTTGAATTACTTTCCAATACCATTAAATTGGACTCCTGCTATGGTGCTGTGAGATGATCACTGGACTGCAAGGTCAGTTTGTACCACAAGGTCAGCAGTTCAAATTCACCAGCAGCTCCTCAGAAACCCTATATAGGGTTGCTCTGAGTCAGAACTGACTTGACAGCACTTAGCCCCAACAACAACCATTAAATTTGGATGAGCAACAATACATACCTATTCAAAGTTTTTTTTTTAAAAAACAAAACAAAAAACAATCAAGTATCTATTGGGAGACTTAACCAGGTAGTTATAATTGTTACATAGTGCTCAGCATACTTTTATTTGTGGAATATAATAGACATTTGAATTGTGAAGCCAGAATGAAATCAAAGTAGTCACCTTGGCTAGAGCCCATGAACAAAAATCAACAAACAACAAAATACATGGCCCTCTTTCACTGACAAATTTCCTTTACTAAACATGGATTGAGAGCATACTATTTGCCAGGGGCTGTAGTAATTTATCTGCTACTGTTTCAATGGCAAAGCAAACACTATTCTGATGTTGTATCCTTGATACAGCTCATGAGAGGAACGCAGCATGCACATGTTCAATTTACCGGTATTTTAATTAGGGTGATCTGGCCACCCACTCTGTCAAGAGTCTGAGTAGTATAATGATAAACACACAGACTTTATTACAGACAGACGTGGGTATAAACCCAGACCACTCAAGTATAAGTGGTCCATTCCCGTGACTCTGTAAATTGGTTCTGGCTTAAGAATAGCTCTGGTTTTTTTTGTGTGTGTGTTTTTTAAAACAGTTTTCATTATTATTGCCTTTTATAATCAGTATCTTTATAAATGTAGCTCCTGGTGTGGCACTGTAGGAACAACACTAGACTACTAATCACAAGTACAGTGGTTCAAACCCACTAG